ATTTAACGCACTGGGATAATACTTCAATCTTTAGCTATTAAGATATTTTTTTAATTATTTATAAATAATAAAAAATGCATTATTTCATTTATATGTCAATATTTTACTTAGGGGTGAAAGTCGGATGGATCGGATCGGAATTAGCCTTTTCGGAAAATTTTCAAAAAAATTCGGAAGTACAAAATCAATTCCAATTCCAATTCCAAAATTTTCGGAATCTAAAAATTCATTCCAATTCCAAAAGGCCCGGAAATTTTGGAATTTCGGAAAAAAATCGGAAATCACATAAGCTTTAAAATTTCAAAATTTAGCCGAATTTTTCTAAAATGTTCATAATTTTTCAAAAATAAGAGCATCCACGTCGATAAAAGTAAAACTAATAATTACTAAATTTCAGTTCAAAAATAAAAATAAAAATAAACATAGCATAATATCCAATAAAACTTCTAACAACAATTTATAATGTCAAAATCCCAAAACAAAACTTATAGGTGTATTTTTCGAAAAATAAGTATTATATAATATATACTATTTATAGGTGTATTTTTCGGAAAAAAATCGGAATTTTTCGGAATTAATTTTGCAATTAAATCGGATCGGAAATTCCAAATTTATTTTATATAATTCCAATTCCAATCCAAAAAAATCGGAAAATTTCGGAAATTAGAATTTCGGAAGTCGGAATGAAAAAAGTTGTTCCAAAATCGGAACTTTTCGGATCGGAACCGGCGGAAATTGGAAAATCCATTCCAACTTGCACCCCTAATTTTACTATTTTGAAAAAAGAATTTGATTAGTTAAAAAATGGGAAAATTACATTTTTCGTCCTCATACTTTACCCACTTTTTCAAAACTGTCCCTAAACATTTTGGAGTTACAATAGTAGTCCTTAATCATGCCATTTTTTGACAGAATTGGTCCGCCGTTAACTTTTGCAGTTAAGTTGGATGGAAAATGGCATGTGCCTCTCACATGCCTTCAACTTACAACACTACATGAAAATGGACTTTCAACAACACGCATTGCGTCTTGTTAAAACATATTTTTTATAATTATTATTTTTAATTAAAATTTAATATAAAATCGAAATCACGTAAAATCCAAAAAAATCAACTCTTTCGGAAATATTGGTGAAAAAAATCAAAATATAGTTTAGATTTTTTAATAATTTGTTCCAAAATCCGCTTTTTTTGGGATTCAATTAAAATATGTCGT